TTTGCACCATTAGGAATCGAAGTCACAGGAATAAACAGCACCACCAAGACAGAGTGGGAAGATGACCTGATGGAAGAATTCTGAGATGTGTTCAATGGAGAACTGGGCAAATACCGGGGGTCCCCACTTTCTTTTAGTCTAAACCCAAAGACTAAAGGTGAGGCGGGTTCCTTTCGCACTAAAACCAAAAATCAATGAGCAATTGGATAAACTCATCGCACAAGGGGTTTTAGAACCAATTGACCACGCAAAGTGGGAACTCCCAATTGTTACACCAATTAAACCTGATAGGTCATTGCGCATCTATGGGGATTACAAAGCAACCCTTAGCCACGTGCTACAACAAAGCGCATATCCAGTTCCAGTGGTACAGCATTTATTACATTCCCTTGAGGGGGAAATCTTTGCGAAACTAGACCTCACACAGGCATGCCAACAGTTGCCCCTTGACCCTGAAACAGTGGAAGCCCGGACAATCGTGACACACGGGGGCATTCAAATGCAACAGACTACAATTTGGTGTCAGCATTGCCCCAGGGGTGTTCCAGAGCTTAATGGAATGCCTATTGCAAGAGATAAAAGGGGTGGTACCATACTTTGATGATGTCCTGGTATCAGCCAGGGACAAAGAACAACTGCGTGACCACCTAAGGGAAGTCCTAGGCAAATTCAAGGAGGCGGGACTAAAAGTACAAAAAGGAGAAGTGTCAATTAGCCACCAGAAAAGTTGAATTCCTAGGATACCTTATAGACAGCGAAGGAATTCACCCTACTGAAAATAAAGTCAGAGCAATCAAGGAAGCCCCCACAAATAAAACTGATGTGCAAGCTTTCTTAGGACTCATTAACTTTTATAATATATTCCTACCACAGAAAGCAACCATTGCGGAACCACTACACAGGTTGCTTGACAAGAAAGTAACCTGGTCCTGGGGGCGACAAGAAGAAACGGCATTCCAGGAGATAAAAAATTTGATCACATCAGACCATGTACTAATACAATACAGCAAAACACTTCCAATAACACTAACCTGTGATGCATCACCTTTTGACATCGGTGCCATACTTAGCCACGTATTACCAGATGGGAAAGAAGCACCCATAGCATTCTATTCAAAGACTCTGGCAAAGCCGGAGCGGAACTACAGTCAACTAGACAAAGAGGCATTGGCTGCTGTCACCGGAATAAAACGTTTCCATGAATATATCTATGGGAGAACTTTCACACTGGTCACAGACCACAAGCCACTCCTGGGGATCATCGCAGGAAACAAAGCTACACCTAATATATTGTCACCACGAATGACATGGTGGTCAGAATTCCTGGCTGCCTACAACTACAAATTGACCTACCTTCCCAGAAAGGATAAATCATGCTGACATGCTTAGCCGTTGCCCTCTACCTGACATAGAAGATGACCCAGCACCAACCACATCGACCCTTCAAATAGAAACATTAGAAAATCTACCCATAATGGCAGCAGATATTGCTAGGGAAACAGCTAGAGACAAAAACCTGGTGCAGATTTTAAATTGGGTAGGAAAAGGATGGCCAGAAACTGAGATCAACGAGACCGCCAAACCATTCTGGAATAGACAAACAGAACTCTCAATGCTTAAGGGATGTGTACTATGGGGGGATTGGGTGGTCATACCGGACAATTTTAAGAAATGCATACTAGAATTGTTACATGAGGGACACCCGGGTATTGTAAAAATGAAAGCCCTTTCAAGGAGTTATGCCAGGGATGGATAAGGAAATAGGGGATTGGGTGGCAACATGTAAAAGCTGCCAGGAATCGAGGCCAACACCCTCCACAGCACCAAAACACAAATGGGAAACACCAAGGGGACCATGGTCAAGATTACACATTGATTTTGCAGGCCCTACCAAAGGGCACACATTTCTAATAGTCATAGACACTTACTCCAAATGACTAGAGGTAAGCATCATGCACTCCACTACAACAGAAGCTGCCTTAGACAGCTCAGGAAACTTTTTGCAACACATGGATTGCCAGATTTAATTGTATCTGATAACGGCTTTAATTCACGGCAACAACATTCAAGGGATTTCTAGCACAACAGGGGATAAGGCATGCACTGACAGCGCCGGGACATCCAGCCACAAATGGACGGGTGGAACGCATGGTACATTACACAAAGGAAACATTACAAAAGCTGGGACCTGGGAACACACAAGAAAAGATAGATAAGCTACTAAGCATTCAGCACATGACACCCAGTGCCACAACAAATAAAAGCCCAGCATGATTTAGATAAGATTTTGACAGGTACTGATGAAAAGGTGATTAAAAAATTGTATGGATATTTATTAGAAATTAAACTAGAAGAAGAACAAGTTAAAGAAACAATGATTGCTTGGGGGAAGAATTTTGGATATGGGATTGATCTAGAGAAATGGCAAAAATTGTGGTCTCAAAATTATAAAATGACAATGTTAACAGCATATAAAGAAAATTTGTATAAGATGTTTTACAGGTGGCATTTCCCCCCGACAAGAATAGCAAAAATGTTCAAGAACAAATCAGAAAAATGTTGGAAATGTCATCAGACACCTGGCTCATATTACCATATGTGGTGGACTTGTGCGGATGCTAAAAAATATTGGACTAAAATCCACACGTGGTTGGAAAAAATGACAAAAAAGCATATAGATTTGAAACCAGAGATATTTTTATTGGGAATTTTACCTGAAATATATAGTAAAGATTTGAAATACCTGACTGTAAATGTATTAACAGAGGCTAGGATTGTATTTGCTAAAAATTGGAAAAATGAGAAAATACCATCACAGAAGGAAATCATTAAGAAAATATTGGAATGTGCTGAAATGAGTAGATTGACATTTGAAATCAGAACAAGATAATAAACAATTTTATAAAATCTGGGATCTATTCTATCAATGGTTAGAAAATAAAACATGGTAATGAAATATGTAGATTCTTAGAAAATAATAAATATATAAAGATGTATTCTTTTCTTATTACATCTACAAAATGATTGTAGGATAGATTTGAGATGATAATATGAACTGTCACAAAACAATTTAAGTAAAATATAATTATTTTGCAAAACATGAATGAATAAAAGTATAGTCAAATGATTGATTAACAATATTAATGTATTTAATACTTGATTGAAAATATGAAAATATATACAATGTAATTGTAATTGAAGACTACGAAATGGAAGCACAAAACAATTTGTAAACCAACCAGCAAACTGTATGTATATATATGGAAGATGGCTTGATGTTTTTATGTTTTGTTTGTCTATGTTCGTCTTAAAAACCAATAAAAATTAAAAAAAAGCCCAGAAGAGTTACTAATGGGGAAGAAATTAAGATCACACCTAGACAGACTACACCCCACATATAGCCCAGAAAAACCAGCAGACTCCTCCAGTTCTTCTTCTTCTTCTTCTTTTTCTTCAGCGTTTGTCTCGCGCTCGGGCGAGGTCCGCTAATGTCCTTAAGTACTGCTTCCACACCTCTCTGTCTACCACGTATGTCGGGTCTGCCTTCGCGATCTCTAGATCGGCCTTGATCGTGTCCATCCAGCGTTGCTTAGGTCTACCACGCGGTCTCGCTCCTCCGACAGTCACCTTCATTGCAGATTTGATGATAGATTCTTCCTTGGCATGGCTCACGTGGCCGAACCATCGTAGCCGGGACTGCCTCATGACCGTGGAGATGGGCACGACGTTGAGCCGTCTACGCACTTCAGCAGACTCCTCCAGTAATTGCCGCATATTTCAAATAGGACCCAGTATATGCAAAAATCTCACAGGAGAACCACTCTGGATACCAAAAAAGCAAAAGTAACTCAGATAACTGGACCCCATTTGTACAGGGTAGACACCGTGGACGGAAGAAGCTGGAGGAGGCACACTGACCAGCTCATATCTAGAGTCATGAAGGGTGGCCCAAACAGAACCTCAGAAGAGGGGGGAGACCCCTCAAACAAACAAAACAAACCCAGGGAAGGAGTGGGAGACCCCTCAAAAATAACCATAGGGGAGGGGAGAGACCCCCTCAAACAAGCAAAACACAACCAGAGAAGAGGGGAGAGACCCCTCAAACAGACAAAACACAAGTAGGAAGGGAGGGGGAGACCCTCCATGAGCAAGAGAAATAACAGAACAAACCCTGACAA